AGAAGTGTTCTCCTTCCCTTGTGGTATGGGAATTTGCATGTGGCTCTCTATGGTTGCAGACTCTGAAGAGCAATTCTCTGCTGATCCCTCCCCCCACCAAAAAAAACACCTTTGCTTGGGGAAATATTTAGCAGTCTGTTTCCAGTGAACACCTACTATTAACATCTTCACTAGTATAATACATTTGTCAAAATCACTGAATCAATATCAATACATACTTATGAAGTAAAGTCCATACTGTATTCATATTTGTTAGTTTTTTAGCTAATTTCCCTTTTCAACTCCAAGATCCCACCCAAGATCTCACAGTACATCTAGTCATGTCTACTTAAGACTCCTCTGAGCTGCGGCAGTTTTTCAGACACTCCTTGTTTTCAGTGACCTTGAGTTTTGAGGAGTAAGGTGTTTTGCAGATCGTCCCTCAGCTGGGATTTGTCTGATGTTTTTCTCATGATTGCACGGGGGTTATGGGTTTGGGAAGGAGGATCACAGAGGGAGTGTCATTTCCATCTCCTCATACCCAGGGTACACAAAGATTTATCACTGTTGTCGTTCACCTTGGTCCCCTGGCTGAGTCAGGCTTGTCAGGCTTCTCCACTGTGAAGTTACCCAGTGCCCCCCGCCCCCACCACCACACGCTGCAGTCTCTGGAAGGAGATCACCACGTGCAGCCCACACCCAAGGAGCAGGGAGTCACACTCCAGCTCCTCGAGAGTAAAGAATCCACATCAAGTGCCTCCATCCTCCAGCTGCTGTGAGCTTTGGCTGCTAGCTGCTCACAGCTGCTCCCCCTTTCCAGAAAATCAGCCCCTGGAGGACCAGAAAGGGCACACCATTCTCCACGGGCATCCCACAGTCAGTGACTGGCTGACATAGGTGGACAAAAGCCCAATCCTGTTACCTCGATTCAGAGAACAGCTCCCTGGGACACTTTATACCCCAGAGGCCCCCAGGGGTTATGCCAAGACGAGAGACCACTTGCCCACTCATCTTTCTTCCCTTCCCTCTTCTGCTATCCTTACTCCCTCATAGTTTAGCAGTCCCTCGTTAAAATACATGTACCTGAATCCTTGATCAGAACTGATCTCCAGGGAAACCAAACCTAAGGCATCTGACAAACAAGAGTGGTCCCAGGGAAAGATGACAGTCCGATGTTGCATCATTGGCTGGTGGGCATCAGAGACTCCCAGCATCAGAGCTCGTCTCTGATGTGTGGGCACAATGCAGTTGCAAAGAATTTTATGTGGGATAAACTGAAACCGGCTATAGGTGAAAGGGATGAGCCATCTGATACAGTATCTCTGGTGTTTAAGAGGTATGGGAGGAGGGGAGAAACTATATAAGGACTGTTGAATTGAGTGTTTGTTGTTGCAAGCAAACTTGATTGATGCTTTGAGGAGAGAAAGTAACAGAGAGAAAACAAATTTTCAGTTTCCAGGAAAAAATAACCTTGAATGTAGCAGCAGGCATCCTGGGATTCCCATTCTATTCCCTGATGCTCTAGAAAGCTGCACCACCTAAGAGGGTTTCCCCAAATGATGCTCTGGTCTATCTAGGTATGACAGCAAAATTCTAGCTACTCAGCCAAACATAAGAGGAAATCAGTCACACTGTTTTATTCATCCTTATGAATCTAAGAAAACAGGAGACAGAGGAATCTTAGACTTCACAGCATGGAGGTTTTGTTAGAAAGATAGTTCCTCTGTCATGGGGCTTACATCTTTTCCCAATTCAATTAATTGGAATCTCACAGAAAAGCAAATGCTGTAAAATAAAAGACTCAAACATCTGGGAGCCCAAGCACCATCCAGTGGAAAACACTAATATGATGCAGTTTCACAGCTTGTGGATGGGAATATTAAGAGCCTTTATTTCTAAGAACCACTGCTCAGAGGGTGTGAGGCTTTTTTTAACAGCTAGTACACAAGGCAGGTGTAGATGGTGGTTTTTCTCAGAATGCAATTTAGTGAGGCATCTCCAATGCATGCATGCAATCAAAATGTACTAACTGAATGTCTCTTTGGGGCTAGCCATGGTGTTAGGGTATAATGGAACACACACAAAGAAGACACAAGTCATTTCTGGCCTCACAGAGCTTGGGGTCTAACTCCTTTTCAAAAACTCCTGGCCCAGAAGGAGAGAGTCACAGAGAGAAGGTAACCCCGACAAGACATGTGACTGCTGGTCAAGGGACACAACCAGACTGAGGCCCCTGCGCCCTCTCTGTTCCCTCTTAGGGCTTTCCACGGCCAGGACTTTCCAGAGTCCCGAGGACCGAGGAGTCCTGCTGATAGTCCATGCACATGAGCCGCTGAGGGCACTGGGCAGAGGAAAGCAGAGAAGACCTGGCGGCACAACGGGTCAGCCCAGTCCTGACCCGGTGAGATGAATAACTGCTGTCTCAGCAAACCACTCCCCTCTGGGTGGCTCCCTGCAGCCTCCAGGACACTCATGGTATCATTTATATATAATTTTTCTTTCATTTAATCCTGGATCAAATAATCCTCTCCAGTCTCTATGACCAGTCTTATCTTCCCATATAGGAGGTTCTTGTCTTCCTATAAAGCTTCTGGATGTGTAGGGCTTCCACTGCCCTTCTCTTTCTATGTGACCTACTTCTTTGGAGTGAATTATTCCCTTCGAGAACTTTGGAATTCCTAAAAAGATCATATTTAGCCTACTGGTATGAAAATACTGATGGAAATAACACCTGTAAAATCCTAATCTGACTGCCAATTTGTGTTCAGAGCCACTTTCAAATGAGAGTTCATGAGATAGTAGAAGAAAATGCAATCTGCAAAATGGTAAATACATGCCTAAGGGACAATGATGTATGATCAGAATTGTTACTATTAAACACTCACTCAGTACCAGTGAGAAGATTTTATAGGAAAGGATGACCTTGAGAGTAGTGCAGCCTGAACTGAGGATGCTAACGATGTTTTAAAAAATGGTAACATTGGTACATATCGTTTTTCAAGTGTCTACCAAGTGCCTGATATACTCAGCCCTTCATATGTACCAATCTCATTTAAAATGTTATTGATCTGATTAATGTTAATTTTACACACTTCTCATTTAATACTCAAATTGATCTAGTTAAACAGAACTTTTACTTCATACAGCTTATCTCACTCAATACTTAAATTGATATTATTATTCCAGCATGTTCATACATATTACTATATATATTGTATACACTTAATCTCATTTAATACTTATGTAGATATTATCTCAGCATTTTTACAAATATAATTTTACACAGTTTTATAACTTTTATTATCTCACTTGATACGGAAATTGATAGTATCACTCCAGCTTTACAGCACAAGGTACTGCTGCCCAAGGAGTGTGAGCTATTGCTGAAAACCACAATGCTGATAAGTTCTGGAGCAAGGCTGATGAGCAGGCCTGTCCCATCCCAGTGTACTCTTTCCCTGATGAGCTAGGTCTCTGGCCCAGGCAGGGCTCCGTGCTATTTCTGCGTGCACTTTCTGCATTTGATCTTCACAACAACTCTATGAGGTGGGTTCTATTTTCAATTCCTATTTTGCAGAGCTCAAAAATGGCACCCAGACAAGTTATAGTAATTAAGGGAGACTTGTACTATCCAGACATCTGCTGGGAATCTGGCTAAAAATAGAGGGCCTGGCGAGTTACTACACTGGGGACGGTTTCATTCTTTTAGTGTTGATGAAGCAATGGGGTGACCTGTGACTGAGGGCTTAGCTTGGGTTAAGGAAGAAAGAGGAGTGAGTAATGAGGAGGTGGCAGAAGGCCACAGGAAAGTAACTGTTTTCCTAAAGTTCTTGGCCATCCAGAAAGAGAAAAATCAGCCCTGGCAGGTACAAACTTTGGATTCTTAGTAGCAGATTTTTTTTTTAACTTGATATATCAGAGTTCTATGGTTGTAAGTGACAGAAAGTGACTCTGGCTACTTGAAAAAAGAACAACAATAGCTACAAGGAAGATAAAAAGTATAGCTGTCCATCTTATACAGAGAAAACACAAGCCTGGGGTTTTGTAGGCTTAACAGTTACATGACTTAAAATGGATGGAAGATTCTAAAAAAAGACTGTAAAGATGAAATCCTAAATTGCTCCAGTGAGAAGGAAAGGGGGTGAAGTCAGCAAGGCAACTCGAGCTCTCTGAAGGCATTGTGCTTTGAGAGGCTCAGTAACCAAAGGCAGAGCATGTGATCAGAGAGACAGAGATGTGACATCCCATTGACCTAGAGGAATGCAAGGCTTGGGGGAAAGAAAAAGGCCAAAATTAATGCAAGCAACAGCCAAAGAAAAAAGACCCAGGGTGCACAGCACATTGCCCGAGGAGCACTAACAAGGGACCTTGATTATCACAAGTTTGGTTTCTGGAGTCTGATGTAGCTGAGTTTGCATCTTTAATGAAGTGACCTTTGATAGGTCTTCTTCCGGATGGAGCTAACATTTCTTTTTTCTTCAAGTCTTGGCTTTCATCATCACCTTCTCAGTGAGGCTATCCTGACTACTCTAAATCCTCTCCCTCGTACTCCCAGCTCCAAGACTTTTAATCTCGCTTTTCCTGTCTTACCCTTTCCTTTTCCACAGGACTTATTATCTTTGACCATACTTAATAAGCTTATTATTATTAGCAGAGTGTATAGTTTATTGTGCATCCCAACTTACCACATACACCAGGGTTAAGGTGTTCGCTGATTTTGTCCAAAGATAAATCCCAACTCTCTAGAACAGTACTTGGCACATTGTAGGGCTTCATAAATATGTATTGAATGAATGAATGACGTTCCTTAACCTTCTGTCTTGTTTGTAAAATGAGGACAATGTTTACTGTGTTTTATGGAGATTAAATGAGAAAATGCTTGTAAAAAACATCCAGCATAGAGACTGGCAAAAAATACTTAATAGATGTAGGCAGTTACAGTGATTTTTGTTTTCTCAATTGATCTTCATGTTAATGCTGAAAAATAACATCTTGTAAATGAGGAAAATATAGTTCATTGAGATAAAACCAGTTGTTACCTTGATCTAACATCACAGAGGCTTCATTTGCGGGAACATATAAAGAGAAGAAGCCTAGAAGAGAGGGAAAGGAAATCACACTCCATTTTTTTCTAGCAAAGGATGGTTAGCCCCAGACTCATGAACCCAGAGACAGAATTCCAAAAACAGTGATCCAATACATGTTCAGTGAGCATTTTACTTCCTAATGTGATCACTAGAAATCATGTTGGTTCATTAGGAGGTATTTGTACTACATTAAGTGCATTGCCTTCCTTGATAATGTTGCTGTGACAATAAAGGAAAGCTGTAGGCAAAGTGCAGTGTATTTTGATTTCAACAGAGTATGCAAAAAGATCCCCCTTAGACTTTATGCATAAGACAGTAGAATGTGCGTTCATGTGGATCTATCACCTAGACCAAAGATCAATAAACTTTTTCTGTAAATAGGCAGACAGTATGTATGTCAAACTTTGCTGGCCATATTGTCTCTGTCATAACTACTCAATTTTGCCATTGCAATGTGAGAAAAATAGACAGCCATAGACACCATGTAAACAAATAAGAGTGGCTGTGTTCCAATAAAACTTTATTTACAAAAACAAGCTGCTGGCTGGATCTGACCCTTGGCTATAGTTTGCCAACCCCTGGCCTAGATGGTTGAATGACTGTAACCCTAATGTGCCATGGGCTGAACTGGCAAAGAGTTTCTATGTCGATCATGTGAGAATAGGCTGACTACATTTATGAGTGATACAAAGCTAGGAGAAATATTCAACATGATGGATGACAAAGTCACAATTTTAAATTAGGCTGAGACACCAAAACAACCAGTCCAAATTAATGCGATGTAAGTTAATGCCTAAAACTATACTGTTCTTTGATTAACAAAACATCATGAATAATGAAACTAAGCTACATTCTATCAACACAATGAAGGGAGAAAACTGGGTTTGGCTGTAATTGCTCAAAAATGACTGGGGGCTGGTCAGCGACTTCACTTGTTATGCATTCACTCACTTCTGCAGTTTTCAGCAATAAGTCCCAGTTGCTTTCTAGGCCCTATATATAGTGCTGAAGTGATTTTGATGATAAATAAAATAGTCTCAGTCCTTAAAGACGTGTAATATAAGCTCTTAGACAAGGAAGATGTCCCTTTATTCATTCACTTATTCATTCATTCAGCTATTTATTTTTTCAACAACTAAATATTGCAACCAACATCATGGCAAGGCCAGATCAGGGTACAAGGATGACAAAGGCAAATGAGATTTAGTCTTTGCCTTTAAGGAACTCTGATTATAATTTTGGAGATACATTCTATGTGAACAGATCAATAACAATACAGCATGGTATATACCATTTCAGAAATATGAACTGAATGCGCGAGAGCAGAGAAAATGAAACAGCTAACTCACTCTAGATGATTCCATGACACCCTAACACTTGAGCTGTTTCTACAAAGTGGATTAGAAGTTTTACTCTCAGATATGTTGATACATTGTTTAATGTCTGAAGGATTTTTGTGCCTGCTTACAAATAACCACACACACTATGTTTTGCTTTGATGTTCCATTTACTAAAATCATCCGTTGGATCCTAGGTAAGTTTTTCAGAAAAACTCTTGGTACTGTAAATGTTGCTTACAAATTTTTACCAACCTCCAGCAAAGAAATTAAACCTCAATGACAAGCGCAATCTTAGTTGGGTTTTCTGCAGAAACACTCCCTGATTAGGGTTCAAGTGTGCACAGTGCGTTTGGGAGCTGCAGGGACCCAGGAGCAGGGGAACTAGAGACTCAGTCCCAGTAAGGAGAGTCAGCCAGAACAGATACGTTGTCAAGCCAGCTACTACAGCTAGTGACTGAAACTCGTCACACGAGGGAGGCTCTGGGGGATGAGGCAAAGCCACGCCTGGAAACAATCACGGCCAGGAGCGAGGGAACCGAGGTATCTATACTCCCACACCTGTCAGTCACCAGGTAGGGGCTGTCGCAGGGTACTGACAGGCACAGTGAATTCCAGGCACTTGCAGTCCACTCTGTGCACACAAGAGGGTGGGTTCTGGAAGCCTGGGGACAGCCCCGTGACAAAGATGTAGTGCAGTCTATCAGGAGTTGGGCTGGAGGGCGTGAAAACGGGGTTCTGAGGGCACAAGGGTGCCCCAAGCAGGACCTGCTGCGTGACTGGGTGAGCCTTGGGAACATCAGAGGCCTTCAAGAGCAGGTGAGATACACAGACACAGAATGCTTACAAATGTACCAAAGCCTGTTCTCAAACAGCAGCACCAAGCATTCCATTCATTGCTTCATTGTATCTGTCCTTGTACCTGTAACATTCTCAGGGTATTTCCATGCAGCTTTTATTTCTTCTAGGGTTTTCACTGTAACATTTGGATAGCTTTCCTGGTTGTATTCATTATGCTGTTCCCAAAGTAAAAGGAGAACTTCTCAGGTCACTTGAAGTTAAAGATCACCTAAAGCAACACAAGCCTGGTCATAAGATTGAGTAAAGCCCATTCACTATATCCTCAAGATAGAACTTTCTGGACTCACCCTTTCACACGGACTTTACTTTTTGGCAATTTAGGGATAGCCTCACAAACTGTGTATGCTGAATGTCATGTTTGGCTAGTGTTACACCTCTTTGCCGGGCTTCCCTGCTGGCTCAGCAGTAAAGAACTCACCTGCCAATGCAGGAGAATTTCTGTTTTATTGTAATTTCTACAGCTTTCTAGAGGTTTCATCTCCTAGGAGATGAGCAATTGGGTCTGTGTACTTAGCACAACTCTCAAGGACATTGGGCTAATTAATCATTTTGGAACACTGACTTGAACCCTCCTTCTATCTGGCCATTATGCATGGGCATCAGTACTGATTTGTCTTGCCTACGCTTTGAACATAATATACTTTGTTATTTTTGGAATTACTTGACTTATGCATACTTGTCTAGTTTATTCTTTCTTAATTGCACTAATAGAAGCAAGTACAGATTTCTATCTCATATACAGACAAATATTTGATCAAAGAACATAAAAATATTTGCTTCTTTGGGAAATGGCATGTTTTGTGACAAAAGCACAGACGCAGGAGCCAAATGACCTGGATTCAAAGGTGGAGTCCGCCCCCCGCCCCGCCAGGAGCTGTGTAACCTTGGAGAGGTCACTTAACCTCTTGGTGCTTGGACAAAGGTGTATCAGTTACTGCCACTGATGAGCAATTTTTAGCAATGGCAGACTTATATTATTTTTAAATTGTTAGTTCACACTTATGTTCCTACTGTAACAAATTTTGCTTGCAATATCCCACTTTTTAGCAAGTGTGGGTTTCTTGAGTACTCAGACTTTATCTTATCTTGACAGCAGTAAGGGAGGTGGAAGGCAGGGAGAACACTGAGGAAAGGCAGAGTAGGAAAGAGGATGCCAAGAGCTAGATAATAACAAGATCGGGGGGACTGGTGTGACCCTTGGACCCTGGAGCTGCTTTCTCTCACCTCCCTAACCAAGGTGAAACCCACCGCACTACACTTTTATAGCCTCTGAATCTCTCCTTGTACCAGTTATCACAGTTGCAGTTTTACAGTTGTTTGTGTGGCTTGGATGTGTACGGGCTTCCTAGGCGGCTCAGTGGTAAAGAACCCGCCTGCCAATGCAGGAGATGTGGGTTAGATCACTGGGTGATTTTTAAGTTGTGGTACTGAGATCACACAGACCTAGGTTTGCAGACTGGCTTCTGCACTCACAGTCTGTGTGTGCTTCAGAAAGTTAATTTGCTCAAGCCACAGCTTCCTTGGCTGTGAATTAAGGCTCACGAAAATTCTCTCGGATATTTTCTTCAGATCCACTCTCTATAAATGTGCACCAATCTATGCAGGAGACCGACCTAACTGATCTAGACCAGTGGTTCTCAGTTGGGACAATTTTGTCCCCTCAAGGGACGTCTGGAGATAGGAGACATTCTGGAGTGTCACAGCTGAGGAAACTGCTATTAACATCTAGTGGGTAGAGGCCAGGGATGCTGTTAAACACCCTGCAGTGTGTAGGAGTATTTCCTCACAACAAAGTATTATCCGACCCCAAATATCAATAGGGCAGAGGTTTGAGAAACCCTGGGCTATACCAACAGGTTCTCTGCCCCTCTGGCTTCTGGCCAGTAGGGATCCGTAGCAGGAATCAGGAGAGGAGTATGAAGTCCTGCTAGTCATTCCCTTTGCTCCAACTCAAAGAGGTCGCCTTGTGTTGGCTGTGCCTCTCCCCACAGGCCCTGACTGCACTCAAAGAAGGCTTTTCTCCTTCTGAGATCTGGCAACTGCTGCCTGTGTTCATTTCTTTGACCTAAGGATGGATAACAGGTCTGCGGATACTGGCCCCAGGGTACCACACTTCCTTCTGAGGCTCTTTTGTACCTAGCCACATCTTTGTAAATAGACCCCTTTCAAATAAACCCTCTTCAAATGATCTTAATTTGATGAACTGTTTTCTTTTAGGATTCTGAGTGATGCCAATAACAACCTCTTAAGGCTGTTATAAGGATTTCAATGAGATAATAGATGGAAACTTTTCACACAATGTGAGGCATGCCATGAACATTCAGTAAATTATAGCCTTCTCTTAGTTCCACCTTAGGCATTGTTGTTACCTCAGGTTAGCTGGACAGTTGACCCTTCCTTCATATGAGCCACCTGAAAATGTTTCCCCTTTTTATTTTGCAGCATACTTAGATAGTAAAAGTAGATCCAATTTTTTTTTTTTTTTTTTTTTGCTGCTATGCTCTGGTGTCTAGAGATAGCAATTCTGCTAAAGAGCTCAAATATGGCATTAAAATATGTTGTGAGTTGGGAAACTTTTACAGAAATTCCAGGCCTATCTCTGCTCTTGGAATGCAAGACATTATTTGTGATCTTGTCACATAAATTTGGAAACAATGTCCATGCTAGCCTTTTTGTTTCTGGGTTTCTTGACTCAGGAACAAGAATGGAGGAGCCTGATTTTTATTCCTGGTGGCAGGAGGAGAAAAGTTGGGCTCCAGCCTCTGCAGATCAGGTTAGATGAGATTCAAACATGTCAAGTGAAATCACCATGCCCCTGCCCAAGAGAACAGGAGGTCCTGGGCAGATTTACTGAGGGTAAAATGCAAGACCAGATTCCAGTCGTATTGTGTTTAAGGAGATGTGGGAACCACTGGGGCAGCTCATTCAATCATTCACTCAGTCATTCCAATATATTGATATTTGGTTCTGGCTCTGTGGCTCTCTTTCATTTAAGTCGACTCTATCCATCACCCCAACTACATAGAACAATACAAATTAAAGGCAGCATCCACATTTTCATCCACTATCTCATCCAGATCTTTTAAAAACTCTGTGGAGAGGAGGGTGGGGTCTACTGGCCCATTTTAAGGTGAGGAGCTGAGACTTGGGGAGAAAAAGTCATTTGCCCGAGCTGCATGGTGGTGAACTAGGACTCATAAACAGACCAGTAGACTCTAGAGTCACACAGACTGGCCTGATCACAGGAGGTTACTCTGCTGACCCTCTGTCCTCAGTAACTCCAGGATTATGGTGCCCACCTCACTGCCTGGACCCTGGTCAATGCTAAGGCCAGCAGCTGGCACTATTATTAGGAAGTAAGGAACTTTGAGTCCAGCATCCCTGGGTTACAATCCTGCTCTGCTTCTAAACAGCTAGGTCCATCAGGCAAACCATTTGACCTGCTGGGCTATCCCCTTATCTGCCAAGTTGAGTATAATAACGTCTGCCTTACCGGGTTATGGTGAGGACCACACGAGTGCAGAGATCTCCAAAGCAGAGTGTGCATACTCTCAGGTGGGATGCAGGAAGAATATCTGAGTTTTGATCTCTAGTTTACTTAACTTCAAAATAAAAAAGAAAATTAAACTTTACTTATATTTAATGTATGTATAGACACTTGACACCCATATTTTATCTGTGTGTCAGCTCTTTTCTTTCTTTTACAATACAGATTAGCTGCTCACACACCCACATCTATTCATTTGCTTTGAGCAAATTGCCTGGTGCGGCAATTTATGTATGCTCAGGTAAATGGATTTAGGGATTGTAATAACCAGTTTTTAAGCAGACTTATAAAATGGAAGTGTGACTTTAAAAAAAATATCCTGCTGTAAGAATCTATTTTAAAACATGCTAAGAAGGTAAGTATAAGTGAGCACCCAAAAAAATGACAGAACTTACCTTCCTTCTATCTTGTTAAGGTTTCCTCTTGGGCTGCACCATGACATGTAAAGAAAATAATAATTTAATCTGAGAGGACAGAACACTGCCCCTCACCCATTCAAAGGAAATTATCATAAAATGATTTGTAATATGGATTTACAACAATTACTATTATTGACAACTTTTTTCTCTATGTTTAACTTGTGCTTAGAGATTTTAACTAGTAATAGATCAAGGCCACCACAGTTAGCAAGACATCAGATATTATTTATTTGAAGTTAGTTTCGTTCATTCAGAATTTCTTATTTTGTGTACGTTTTATAAGGTACTCAAAAAGCACCATCTGACAGTGTATAAGTAACTAATAAACTGTAATTATATTGATGATATATGCTTAACATTTTTGTTGGTGGGGTGTACAATTTAAAAATCACGGAGATCCCTGAGCTAATGTAAAGTCATTAATTAAAAAACTGCCATGCAGTAGATGTTCAATAAAAAGCAACTAGTATTATCAACAACTTTCCATTTATTGAGTACATGCCACATATGATTATTTTTCAACTTAAAATAACTTTATTAAGGGAAATTTCAAACACCTGAAACATAAGAATGGGTTTATGAACTCATTATATACCTTTACCCAACTTTGACAATTACCATTTTTCCAACCTTACTTTATCTCTTCCCCTACTTATTTTGCTACAATATGTTAAAGCAAAGTCCACATCATTTCACCCGCAAATAGTTCTGTATGAACTTCTAACTAATAAGGGCTTTTTGTCTAACCACCTCACCATTATCACACCCAAACAGTCATTAGCAATTCTTCAATAGCAACTTCCAGGTGGGCTCCGTGGTAAGGAATCCATCTACCAAAGCAGGAGATGCAGGTTTGGTCCCCGGGTCGGGAAGACCCCTTGGATCTTCAGCGGCAACCCACTCCAGTATTCTCGCCTTGAAAATTCCGTGGACAGAGGAGCCTGGAGGGTCACAGCCCCCGGGACCACGAAGGCTGGGACTTGCCGAGCAACTGAGCTCAGCGCTGAGCACAGGGCAGACCGCGCACTGGAAAGTCTACTGTCCTCTGAGGCCGCAGATGTGATCGGACCCCTCCAGCATCCCTCTGCCTCCTCCACGGCCGCATCCACACTCCTCCCAGAGACCAGAACCCACAGCACGACCGCCCCTGCCTACCCCTCCTCTCTGCCCCCCACGCTGTCACCCAGGCGCCCTTCTCCAGCGCCTTGACCAGCGTCCTCAGCCCCTCCCCACTCAACACCCTCCCACTTGCTGCTCCCTCTGAATCGCCTGTCCACCTGCTCCCCCGTCTGCTCCTTCGCAGCCTTCAGGCCTCAGCTCTAAGATCCGCTCTGCCCTAAGCAGGCCCCAGTTGACTGCTTTCTTCCTCCACCAAGTAACGTTCGTGTGTTTCACACCACTCATCACAAAGTCTAGGTCTGTGCCTGTCTTCTTCATTTGATTAGGAGGAACAGTCTTTGATAGTCACTTTTTTTTTTTTTCCTTTCCATCCTGAAGTTGAGCTCAGCTCAGTGCTGGGCAGAAGGTAGCAGCCAGCACATCATAGAAAGACTGAAAGGAGTGAAGCCCTGATCATGCCTGGCCTCCTCTTCCATTCCTACCTCCTCTTCCAGCGTCTGTGCTTCCTGCTCCTTCAGCCTGCAAAGTCTTCCTCTTCCCTCTCAAGCTGCCCCCTGTCCTTCCACAGCACATCCTACCCAAACTTCAGCTTCACTGTGACCTCCTCTCAGAAGCCCAGGCTGCCTCTGTGCCCGCTCACTTCCATCGCCCATCCATCGGATCATTCATGTTTCTCTCACCCTCACCACGCTCTGTGCCCCTAGAGAACTGAGATGGTTCAATTCATGTGTCACCTCGACTGAACTAAGTTGCTGATAAAACATTATTCCTGGGTGTGTCTGTGAGGGTGTTTTCAGAAGATGTTAGTGTTTGAATCTGCAGACTGAGAGAAGACCTTCCCTCACCAATGCAGGGGGAATCATCCAATCGATTGAGGGCCCAACCAGAACAAAAAGTCAGAGGAAGGACAAATATATTCTCCCTTCTTGAGTCCAAACATTCATCATCATCTGCCATTGGACATTGACTCTCCTGGCTCTTGGGCCTTTGGGTTTGAACCAGAACTATACCACTGGCTTTCCTGGGAGTCCAGCTTACAAGTGGCAGATTGTGGGACTTCTCTGCCTCCGTAATAGCATGAATCGATCCCTCACCATAGATCTTTTCATGGATGTCCATACATATCCTAATGGCTCTGTTCCTCTCAAGGACCCTTACTAATACAAGAACTAAGACTGTCCTGTACAGTGTCTGGAGCTCAGTGCCTAGCCATAAGGATTTGAGGGCTGTAGAAATGAATCAGACGAGTAGGAAGGTACAGTTAAGCCTGAAGGACCAGGAAATAGAGAGTAAAGTGAAGGGGATCAGTGGGTCTTGAGGACATAAGAGGATGTCACACCAGGAAGGTTTGGATCAGTAGAGGAGATCTAAGACCCTGAACAAGTAAGAAGGTCCTGGGTTTCCATTTAAGGAGATGCCAAGTATGATCTCAGGGTGATGACAACCTTTTAAGTAAATATAGAATAATCCAAATATAAGCTCCACTAGGAAAAACCTTCCTGGGATGGGGTCGGGGGGACTTTGATCTCTACCATTCACTGCTATATCTGTGCCTTCCATATAGTAGGTGCTCAATGAAGATTTCTCGGACAAATAAATGAATGCATAAAAAATCATGGCTGGTTGAAGAAAAGGCAGAGACGTGAATTGAATATGAATAGAGACATGAAAGCAGCTCTTTTCTCACCACCCCTGAGAACCACCTAAGGGAAAAAACTCAAACCTGCCAATCCTGTGATGACCAGTACCAGGCCTATCTCATGTAATCTTGTCTTCTCAATGCCCAGCGGAGGCTGGCACCTGATAGCACTCAGTAAATCACTGTGGAACAAATGATTCTTTCTGTGAAATGGAGGCTAATATTACCTAGCTTGAAATGAATTAGGATTCTCAACATTCTGCATGTCTTCAGTGAAAATTTCATATTAGTTTAGTTTCTAAGACTTTTTTAGCCCTGTTTTTAAGACTGTTGAATCAATTCCAACTTATCAATCAAGGTCAGATTTGTCACTGGAGCATCTGCTTGCCAACATGAGCATGCTCACGTTTTGTTAAGCTTTCTGTTTTCACTAGCCTGACATACTAGCACATGCCAGGCTGTCTCCAGATCATGATATTGTCATAAATGGGCCACCAGTGTCTTGGGAGCTACTGGTAGGTTGTCTCTGGGAAAAAAAGGAGTTCTGAAGACAAACAGATTTTACAAATCCAGTATTGAGCAGAGAGTTGTTTAATTCAGGATTGCTCAGGACCTTTGTTAAACTAATATGAAGTAGTGATCCCCTGGAAGAGGGTCTCAAAAGGTGGTGACTCCCACAGTCTTTATTGCTTAAAATCCTATTTTTTTAGATATCTGATGAGACACCCAGAGGATTCCTGTTCCACCATTTTAGAAATGCTATATTCAAGAATAGCAAATAATGAGGATTCTTGTATGTTTCGAACTACTTGCTTTGCTAAAATGATTGGTCTACCATAATGGAGGAAGGTGCACAAGCTCATTTATACCCCCTCATCCAGTCCTCTTAAGAGTAGATGCACCAGAATCAGAAGAGATTGGGTTTTGCTGTGAGCTTGACTTAGTACAACCTTCAGCTCTGTCACTTAGGAGCTGTGTAAAGTTTTGCAGATCAATCATCTCAGCCTCAGTCTTCTCATCCATAAAAATGAGAACAGTCACACCATAGAGAGACTACAGAACCATGGGAGGAGAGGATGTCTCTGAAAGGCCATAGCAAGGTCTGACACATAGCAGGTGAAATGTCATTCATTAAGTGTCAGGCACTGATCAAATCAGTGCAGACAAGGACTACAGCCATGAAGTTAAAAGATACTTGTTCCCTGGAAGGAAAGCTATGACAAATATTGACAGCACATTAAAAAGCAGAGGCATCACTTTGCTGACAAAGGTCCATGTAGTCAAAGATATGGTTTTTCCAGTAGTCATGTACAGATGTGAGAGTTGGACCATAAAGAAGGCTGAATGCTGAGGAATTGATGCTTTTGAATTGTGGTGCTGGAGAAGACTCGAGAGTACCTTGGACTGCAAGATCAAATCACTCAATCCTAAAGGAAATCAACCCTGAATATTCATTGGAAGGACTGATGCTGAAGCACGCACACCCGAGAGCACTTGGCAGCCCCACGGTCAAAGCCAAAGACACAAAAGGAGACTGGTCAGGTCAAACCCGTCTCCTCACCTGAATTATAAGATGAGCTCATGCTTGATGCTGGAGACTGATGCCATGAAAACCCGGGGGTGGCACAGACAGACCAGAGGCCAGGAGCTCTGTTGATTCTGAAAAGACTCATACAGCTTTTGGAGACTGGTGGCACACGCCCCAGCGAGCAGCTGCTCGGTGCCCTGTTTTGCTCTTCTGTCTCCAAAGGATGGTGCTAAATGATCCCCTGGGCTGCCTGCATCTTCTCCATCACCTGGCTACCTGGGAGATGGAGCAGTTGGTCTCTAACTGCTTGCTTTTCTTCCTCTGTCTGCGCCCCGCACCCCCCACTGTAGCTCGCCTACCGACATTAAGCATTTCATTGTGCATGCCACAATTCACCCTGCCCAGGGCACAGGCAGGGGTTTCCAGCTTCTTCACTTTGCAAATCGAGTGCACACCAACTCCTGCCCTGCCCACTTCGTGAATCATACAGTTCAACACATCCTCCTGATTAGATCATGTTTAAGCCTTGAGAGGGAGATCCTAGCAAGCTCAAGAAGAAGGCAAAATATTTCGTTTATACCAAATGACAAATACAACTGTGTGTGCTTCCTTTGTGTATCAATTAGCAGCATATGGTGAGAGTGAAATGCACTAATAAAGTTATAAAGAAATATAAGGGTTAGGGAGACGATCGCTTCCTCATGGGCTCAGGCAGAAGCGTCT